GGAAAGAAAAGGTACTGAGAGATCGTGCCACGAAGATATCGTAGAACAACGGAGGAGATGACTATAGTGGACAGAGGTGGGGGCTGAAACGAACTGACTCAGAATGTGGACATGATAGGAGATGTCAGGACGCGTAACGGCGAGATAGACAAGACTGCCAACAAGGTGACGATAGCGAGTGGGATTAGGGAGAAGGTCACCATCAGAGGCATGAAGCTGAATGTTGAGCTCCATGGGAGTCACAACTGTGTGCTCATCACCGAGAGCAGCGCGAGCAAGAAGGTCTTGAATATATTTTTCTTAGGAGATGTAGAAGCCATCAGAGGTCAAGGAGATCTCAATCCCAAGAAAATACCGAAGTGGACCAAGATTAGTCATGAAAAACTGGTCGCGAAGGCGAGCCTTAACAAAGGCATTGTAATCAGAGTCATCACCAGTGATGATAATGTCATCAACATAGAGAAGGAGAAGAGTCCGACCACGAGGAGACGTGTGAACAAACAACGCGGGATCATGATCACTGGGCAAGAAACCAGTGGCGGTCACCACAGAGGCGAAGCGCTCAAACCAGGCGCGAGGGGCTTGTTTGAGACCATATAGGGAGCGGCGAAGTCTACAGACCATACCATCAGGAGCATAGTACCCCAGTGGTGGCTGCATATAAACCTCCTCACGCAACTCGCCATTGAGAAAAGTGTTCTGAACATCAAGTTGAGAGATAGACCACTGACGAACAGAGGCCACAGCAAGAAGAGTGTGGACAGTGGTCATGGGGGCCACAGGAGTGAATGTCTCATCATAATCGCGCCCCTACTCCTGCTGAAAACAACGGGCCACAAGACGAGCTTTGTAGCGCTCAAGAGAACCATCGGGGCGAGTCTTAAGCTTGTAGACCCACTTGCAGGTGATGGGACGGACACCGGAAGGAAGGAGGAACCAGATCCCATGTGCCAGAGTGCTCAAGGGCAGCAAGCTCTTCGGCCATCGCAAGCTACCATTCAGGCTGAGTCATGGCAGTGCGATAGGAAGTGGGCTCAGTCATAACAGAGAGACCGTACCGATCAGGGGAGTAGCGATCAGGCAGGGGGCGAGGCCGAGCATGGAGGTTGTGAACCGGGGGAGGCGTGAGAAGATGTGCACCAGAGGTGGAAGGCTCGTCAGAGGAGACATCCTCAGTACGAGATCGACGAGTATAGTGGAGAGGAAACGATGAGAGAGGGTGACGGACTGGAGAGGATGAGGGAGAGGTGGAGGAGGAGGATGGAGAAGACGGGGTTGGTGGTGAATGAGAAGGAATGAGAGGTGCCGGAGGAAGAGGTGACACATGAGGCACATAGCAGGGTGTATCGGGGAGGAGAAGGAAAGAAAGGTCGTCCACAGAGAAACTCGAGGAAGAAGAACGTGGGTAGTAAGAACGAGACTCGTCAAAAGTCACATCACGCAAGATGCGCAAGCGACAACCCACAGGATCCCAACATCGATAGCCCTTGTGCTCATCACTGTAGCCAAGGAAAACACACTCAACCGACTGAGCAGTCAGTTTGGTGCGTTCTTGGGGGGCAAGAAGAACATAGAAGACGCGTCCAAACATACGAAGAGCTAAGTAGTCAGGAGAGCGACCAGTGAGACACTCCATAGGAATGCCACCCTGCAGAGCAGTTGATGGCTGAATGTTGATGAGATAGGTGGATGCGGAAACAGCCTCAGCCCAAAAATGGGGTGGAAGGGAAGCAGCAATCATCAGCGCACGAGCCGTCTCAAGCAAATGAGGATGCTTTCGCTCGGCAACGCCATTCTGAGCATGAGCACCAGGAAAGGAGAACTGGGCAAGAGTACCCTGTTCTGCGAGAAAACCATGCAATAGCTGAGAGATATACTCTCCAGCGGAGTCAGCACGAAAAGTACGAATGGGCGTGGCAAACTAGGTGTGAACCATGGCAGCAAAACGTTTGTATATAGGGAGAACCTCGCTACGAGATTTCATGAAGTAGAGCCAAGTGTAGCGAGAGAAATTATTAATAAACAAAACATAGTAGCGATGACCACCTTTCAAATCAAAGGGAGCAGGACCCCAGACAACAGAATGAACTAAGTCAAAAGGACGCTGAGATACAGACTCACTAGTAGGATAAGGTAACTGAGTCTGTTTGCCAAGTCTGCAACAATTACAATGTAAGGAGACATCTCCAGATACAGACCCTAAGAGGCCCTGACGAACTAAGGAAGACAAGCGAGAGCCATAGATGTGACCAAGTCGATGATGCCACTGCTGGAAGGACGCAGACGAAGAGGCAGCAAAAGCATGAGAGCTGGCAGAAGTGGTGGCAGCAGAAGGAACACAAAGCCAGTCAACCTCCCAAAGGCCCTCTGACTCACGGCGCCAGGGGCTAGCACCAACCAAAGCCTTGGTGCGACGATCCTGAATGGAGCAAGAGTCGGTATCAAAAATGACACGACAACCAGAATCAGTAAGTTGGGCGGCGGAAAAAAGATTCATGGTAAGGCGAGGAACATGTGAAACACTCGGAACAGAAAAAGAAGGAGTGGAAAGAAAACCACGACTAGCAACAAGAAGAGATGTGCCATCGGCAGTAAGAACATTAATAGGCGAATCAAGAGGTCGGAGAGAAGACAACACGGAAGAATCAGAAGACATATGAAAAGAGGCTCCAGAATCCAAAACCCACGAAGATGTACCTGACTGTGTAGATGCCTGTGATGGTGAGGAAGAGGGTGCAGTCACAGCAGCAGCAGAGCCAGTCGACGAGGAGCCCGAGGAAGCAAGAAGACGCTTGAGGCGAACAATGTCCTGGTCAGTGAGTGATGGAGTCGTGGAAGACAAAGGAGGCCCGCTGGAGGAGGAGCGCCTCTGGTCTCGCTTCTTCTGGCGACAATCAGACTCTGGGTGACCTGGCCGGGAGCAGTAACCACAGACGGTGTCACGGCGCGACGTGCCCTTCTTAGCATAAGGAGAACTGCTCACCCCCCTTGGAGGAGTAGGCAGGAGCGGCGGAGCAGTGAGGCGAGCAGACGACACAGGAACCCGGGCAGCCAATACTAACGGAACCAGAAGCAACCCAGTAGAGCGAAGGCGGGTCTCCTCGGCACGAAGCTTAGCAAGTATCTCTGGGATAGGAACGCGACCACGAACAAGCAAGTGAGCATGACGAGGCTCAAACTCATAGCGGAGACGAGATAAGAACTCATGGACCCTCTGAAACCCCAAGTCAGACCTCGTAGTCTGGCAACAACGGCAAGTGCCACAAACAAATGTCCACAGTGAGTCAAGCTGACGCAGATGGCAGAGCACTGTGAGTAGAATTCATCAACAGACGAGTCACCCTGCTGAAGAACATGCTCCTGACGCACTACAGAGAGGTGTAGAGCATCACCAGAGGGTTGATAGCGCTGACAAAGGTAGGACCACATCGCTGCAACAATGCCGAGGCCCATGAACTCCGAGGCAAACTGAGGGAGAACACTCGCAGTGAGAACATCAGCAGCACGAGCATCATCATTACACCACTGAGTGTAAGCAGACAGATCATCCCGGTAGACAGAAAGAGCATCGGAATATGCGGATACCTGCTGATCATAGGCATCAACTGCAGTGTCATCAAGAGCCTTGGCTGCATCCCTGTCAGCCTGAGAAGCCTCAACAGCAAGCACCGGGGGCACTGGGGGAACAGGAGCAACCGGAGCAACAGGGCAGGGCGGACAGGGTACCTCGCCAGAGAGAACGCCCCACAGCAGAAGACCGCGCATGTGAATACGCATGAAACCTGCAAACTCTGCATAGTTTGTGCCATCGAAGATCACCGAGCACCGAGAACAGCGACATAGCCTGAAGAGGACATGAGGTAGCCACTCTGCGCTGCTTCTCTCTCTCTCTGTTTTTTTAGTCAACGTTGTTCGGCCCGAACTGTGTCCGGAAGCAAGAGGCCCGAATAGTATGCGGGAGACCCGAACAGCTCACGAGTGGGCAGGAGAGCGCGCGGGGAGGAGACTTCAGTGCCTCCCGGAGTCAACGGGGAGCCCGAGGACGTGCGGGCTCGCCCGACCTCACCGGCCGTAGGGCGCGGCAGAGGCAGCCCCAAAGGCACCACCGTCGGGCGCGGCGGGGCACATGCCAGGAGGCGGCGGGGCCCAGGCTAGGAGGAGCACCGGCGGCGGTCGGGCGCTGCAGGGAGCCGGTGGCAGACGGGCGCAGCAGGGAGCCGACGACGGTCGGGCGCTGCACGGAGCCAGCAGCAGCAGCCGTGGGCGGAGCAGCCTGCGGGTGTCGGCGGCGCGGGACGGCGCCTACGGGCGGCTGCAGGCACGGGCGCGAGGCGGGTGGCCGGATCCGTGGCGAGAAGAGCCGCGAGGAGAGCCGGGATGGCCGGATCCGCGGCGAGGAGAGTCGGGGTGGCCGGATCCGCGGCGAGGAGAGTCGGGGTGGCCGGATCCGCGGCGAGGAGAGTCGGACCTGACAGTGGATGGATCGGGGGAGGAGTTAGCACGGAGTTGCAGCGTGCGGGAGAGAGGGGAACCTAACATCTAATATCATGTTGGATAAATAGCAATTGCATTCACATGAGGACCAAAAATCAATACATATACATGTGTAGGGTAAAGTGCAAGAGACTCCTTATACAACGGGGATAAAGGCTATATACATCTAACACTTCATACTCCCGTTGGCAAGTTTCACCTTGGCAATCGGTGGCCGTGGCGGCGGCGGATCCTTGTTATGGAAATCGGGGTTCGCTAAGTAGAGAAGGCCGGCCCCCGGACTTTGTCAGATTTCTCCCGCGGTGCGTGTCATACTACAACACATAATAGCAACGCGTGGCGGAGGAGGATTTCTGCTGGTTTTCTAATGGAGGTCGGGGTGGTTCTGCTACTCCGCATCTGCCTCTTCTGGGCTTTTCTATCTCAATTACTACCTACATGGCCTCCTGTGTTAGATTCGTGAGATTGTTTGGCATCCTTTTGTCTCTCTCATCAGGTGTTCAATCATGGAGTCATCGGGCAACATTGTGAGTTCATTGCTTCTTTCCCCCTTTCTCATTACCTCGAAAAAGAACTTATTTTCTTCAGTTCACTGTTTGTGCAGAGCAAAACTGAAGATAGAATTGATCCAACTGAAGGAGGAGACTCTATTGTTGCCAGCAAAGATGAAGACAGAATTAGTGCGCTACCCAGTGAAATTCTTCTCCACATCCTAGAACGCCTTGATCTCCGCACGGCGATTCGGGCCGGCACCGTCGCAACACGGTGGAGGCACCTTCCTCATCAACTATCTCATCTGCTCATCAGTACCTCGGACGTCTGTAAGGCCGGTTACACGACAGATGAGATAATGAAGGCATACACGGACGCGACGAGGAGGCTGCTGTCTCCTCCGACTTGCAAGTGCACTCAAACCATCAAAACATTGAAGCTCGGGTGCTACATCATGGACCCTTACTTGTCCACAATTGGCCATACGGTTCAGGATGTCGTGAAGAGCCGCGAACCTGAATACCTCGAGTTCGCAATGTGCCCAGATGTTGCTTCTCCAAGTGATGCCCAATTAGCCTTGTATGGACAGCGGTTTATGTCATTCTTTGGTGCATACCCTGGTCCCTTCAAATTGCTCACTAGACTAATCCTTCAGAACCTTGCGTTTCAAGACTCAGATGTCACCAATCTTCTTAACACTTGCAGTAAACTTAAGATGCTTTCCTTGAGATCCTGTGAAATGCCCCAGGAATCTGTCCTTGAATTAGATGCCCCAAGCTCGGAGCTCAGCTCACTTGAACTTAAATGCTTTGGATGCATACACGTTGAGCTAATCTGTCTTCCTAAACTGAGGGAACTGGTATATGATGTTTGGTTTTGTGAAAACCCCCCAGTGTCTTTTGGCTATGTTCCCCAGCTTCATCATGTCTGCTTTGCTTGTCCTGCCCAGTCTTGGCAGAAGCCATTCGTGCTGAGCCAATGTTTATCTAGTGACATAAACCTGTCAAATCTGCTTTTGAACTTTTACACTCAAATGGTAAGTTTCTACTACAATTCTCTCTACTTCTAATTATTATCAATTTATTTAAAGATGTGTTTCTTGCTTCATGTTATAATATTCTCCATATTTCTGTTCTTTTAACTGCAGATATGGGTTGAACCTGAAGGTCCACAACAGCTCACCCCTATATTCAGCAAACTGAGAGATGTGCACCTTTGCGGTATATTTACTGAATGTGATTTGGATTGGACTATGTTTATACTTGAAGGCGCACCTTCACTGGAGAATTTTCATGTAAGCCTGTCATTCGGTTCTTTCAATCCACACTTTGGCCATATAATGACATGTTTACATTTTCCATGTATGCAGCATTAACATATAGGGTACCAGCATGCATGTGTAATATTAAACCACTTAAGTACTACTCCCTCCGTTCCTAAATATTTGTCTTTTTAGAGGTTTCAAATGGACTACCACATACGGATGTATATAGACCTATTTTGCTCCGTATGTAGTCACTTGTTGAAATCTCTAGAAAGACAAATATTTAGGAACGGAGGGAGTATATTCTATCAAATGTAGTACATACAGGACTCTCTAGGATGTATCAACAGGGAGAACCCGTGAATTGTATAGGGATGATGGTGTAATCCTAGAATACATGGCAGATAAGTTGTTCTTCAAGGTTGTTTGTGTGCTTCATAAGAAATGTGCGTAAAGGTAATTGATATTTTCTACTCCCTCCGTAAAGAAATATAAGAGCGTTTAGACCACTAAAGTAGTGATCTAAATGCTCTTGTATTTCTTTATAGATGGACTATTATGTCTAACCTCATGTTAGATTCCCCCAAAATTCCTATGGATTTTTTTCTTAGTTTATTTACTTAAGGTTGAGACACTTATTTTGGGACCGAGGGAGTATGTTATAGGAATCCTAGAAAGTCATTGCTTTATTCCAAACGCTATATAGGAAATTCCATTTCTTCAGATACCTCCAAGAACTCTAATTCCAGAAAGGTTCTAGACTTTTTTAAGCACACATTTTCTTTTATGTCTTAACTCATGCTGCGGCCATTGCGCTGCATTTTGAAATGCTGATGTTGAGGATGCCAATTTCTAATGTAGTTTATTTTTTTCGGTTCATTAAGTTATCTCGTCATTCATGTGAATTCAATAAGTCCGAGGACGATGCCGAGAAGACCAACTTGGTGCGGCAAGCATCCAATTTCAAGCACTTGAAATTGAAGTTGTTCGTGATGAAAGGGTTCGAGGAGGAATACAAGGTGATGAATTATATACGGCTCGTCATGGAACGAGCCGTGTGCTTAAAGAGAATTGAGCTGCCTGCTATATCCCCATGCAAGAAGTGCACTGCCATATCTCCAAGATTTCCGGTGGATGAAGCTAGCAAGCACCGCATCAGGGAGCAACTCAGATACGGATTATCCTCATCCACAGACATAATAATCGGATGATGGTACAGTCAATGAGTAATCCTCAAGTAGGATTATCCTCATCCGTAGACATAATAATCGGATGATGGTACAGTCAATGAGTAATCCGCAAGGATGACGACGGGCTTAGCCTGGTCGGTTCTGCCTAATAAAGAAAAGTCCACTCTTACTGCAGCTGGAGTGATGTGTTAGAATTGCTGCTATATAATACTGCGCATTAGGCGCGGACAGTTATAAAATTTTCTGTTTTTTGATTAATGATAGCCAGGAAATGGTCATGTGGTTCTTGACTTGTGTGTGCTTTAAACTATGTTGTTCAATGTAAGTGAATTGTGCACTGCGGACTTGCTTCGGTTGCCGGAGGCCAATGGCTTATATCATTCAGATGCAAGGCATTTGCAGAATGTGTCTGGTAAAATATTTTGGGGAACTCTATCCATCTCTTTGTCGATGGAGCTCTAGGCATCCCCCACATCCAATGGTGTCATTCTAGCATTTCATTAAAGCCCTAAACCCCGTCCCGACGGGGAATTTGATTTTAACACAGGTTATTTGTAGTTTGATTATTTGCCCTCCCATCTGATCATTTTCCCCATTTAAAATTTGAAGAAGTTTGATCTTTTGCCCTTTTGCAGTTAATTATCTGACTTCTTTTCCTTTCTTATGAGGATAAATAAATGGTAAAAAGGGACTCATTCCAGTTTTTTGAGTGGTGTGGTTGGAAGATCAAAAAAGTTTCCAGAGGAAAAGAATGCTCCTTGTTGTTCTGAAAATGTTTGAATTTGCCAGTTGACAGAAAAAAAGATAGCTCGAGCTGAAAGTCCAAATCCTTTACTTGAATATATACTGTTCATGTCTCACGCTGTGAGCTATGGATCCATCTTCGGCCCACAGTTTGAGCTACTGGCGAAATTATTTACCACCATATGCATCTTTCCCACTGCGCTTAACCATTTCTTGGACGACGTCAGGATATTCTCAATTGGCGATGCCAAAATTTGGCAAATGTCAAATATTTGCTAGTGATTGGTCGGTTATACTTTCTTTTTGTTAAGCTCATAAAAGTTGCCAATTTTTGGCACCTTTTGATTTTGCCAAATTTTGGCATCAAACCAATCACCCTAATAACTGCAGCTTTCCATAACTAACGAATAGTAAGAAAAGAAACAAGAACACAATGTCGTCAGACAAGAAAATTCGAAAGAAAGCAGTTGGCGCCACTAGCTCACCGTCAACCAACTCCGGCACAACCACATTGTCTTGCAGGTTGCACCCAAGTAGCCATGAAAATGATAAAAGAATTGAAGCTCTACCTCCAGCTACCATATGCCTCGACTCCAAAATCTGAAGATGGTCTGAAAATTTCTCACATGTTTAACCAACGTAAACTGTACAATGCTTTTTGGTCTGGACGACCAGCAATTCTCCACTCTACTGTGGAAGTGTATGTGTTTAAACTACATTTAGGGCGGCACCATGGACCAGTGCTGCCCCAGTTTACAGTAGCAGCCCGTCATAGTCTCAAGATCCTTCCAGTTCTATTGACTGTGCTTCGGCCCCAGCTGTTCCAGCGTCCTCGGTATCTTCGCCAAACTTTGGCGAGCTAGACGACTCTGCTTCGGCCCCAGCTGTTCCAGCGTCCTCGGTATCTTCGTCAAACTTTGGCGAGCTAGACGACTGTGCTTCGGCCCCAGCTGTTCCAGCGTCCTCGGTATCTTCGTCAAACTTTGGCGAGCTAGACGAAGCTCTGCTTGAAGGTGAACCTGACTCTGAGTTAGTGTCAGAACGTTCAGCAGTGGCTGCGTCAGCTTCTGAACCTGGGGGGTCTGCCAACTGCGTATCAGAATTGGCTGTGCTATTGGTTGTACTCCCTTCTGATTCCTCCCCTGCAGAAGCGTTCTCGGCGAGTTCATCTTCTTGAGAGGTTGGGCCTACAGATTCAGCGTCTTGCGAGGATGATGTATCAGCAATAGCATCGTTGTCACCCTCAGACTTTGGTGCATCCATGGAGAGTTCACGATCTTGAGTGGTTGGACCTACGGATTCAGCTTCTGGTGCAGAAGAATGGATATTTTCTGGTTCCGTCTGAGAAGTCTGGACAGATCTGCTATCTGGAATGTTATGTTCAGGTGTGCCATTGCTCATTTCTGTTCTGATGTTCAAACCCTTCTGTTCTGATGCAGCATCCGTGATGTGATTGCTTTCACTTTCGCTTGATGGCTCAGAAGTGTTAATCGATGTGGTCGCATCGATCTCCGAAAATATAACCTATCATTATCAGGCAGAAATATCCCATTACTATGTATAGAGGTAAAGTGCACAGCTGAATAAAGCTATAAAATGTAAGGATTATCTGGTTACCTCAACTCTGAAGTCTACGGGAAACCGGTGTTTCGTGTCCCACAGAATGTCAATCTCGTCCCTATCAAGTAACAGAAGATTGTCTTGAACAAAAGCCGTGCTAAACATAACTCTGAATACCATCACTTCATGTTTAAAGTCCTCATCCAGGCTGATGCACTCCATGACAACGTCTCCTCGAACAGGACATCGGATATTAATCTTGATTATCTCACTGTCTTCCTGTAATTATAAACAAAAACAGTATAATGTTTTCAGTTCAGCAATTTAAGCTTAAGGGTACCTCAACTTCCAAGTAAAAAATAAACTATTTATATGAACTGATGCAATAATATGCTCTTTCAAGTTTGAACGTATTCAGAACCATTATAGAAAACAAATTGAGCTATATGTGTAAACCAATAATCTCTCCAGATGACCAAGGAAATCTTAAGTATTTCAAGAAGGGAAAGCTCTACATCCAATACTCTCTTCATTCTTCAACCTATCAACTTCAACCATTCGAATGTCCAAACCAGATAAATTCGATAATATGGTGGTATTCAAATAAGCTGACTTATGCTGATGTGGCATAATCGCCAGCATCATGGCTGGGTAAGAACTAGAAAAGGTATAAATTACACTTAACCAACAGTTGGTGCAACAAGAATTGTTTTAGCCTTTTTGGTCAGGGGTGTGATTCGACTGTTTTGAAGTTTATGAGGTCAGCGCAGAAACTATAGATGACTTAAAAGAGTTCAAGGGTCTAATATTTATGATTTCCCCTTTTGAGAACGGGTCACTAATGAACTAACGATGTTCAACTTATAACCCTACATTATAGACAAAAACCACAGCCCTACTGTGACAGATCACTGAGTAATTCATGATAACAAAACAAAATTATACCTGCGTGTAAAGCTGGACAAAATCATCTGTCTTCGGAGTTGAAAAGAGAACTTTGGCACTGCTGTCATGAGGAGCCAGGGGGTCTGGGCCATAAATTCGAAATATTGGCCTACATCCCCCTTCACCATCAAAATTCGGTACCGTCCTGATGATTGCACAGTTCAAGTTCAACGTCCTGTCAGCAGGAGGCCACAATTCTGGTGATTTGTGCCGTCTTGACACATACTTCAAGTATCTCAAATGAGAAGGTGCTGGGTCCAGTGGTGAGTAGAGCTCAACCAGCCCAGGTGGTGCATATTTGTGGATCATCTCCAACGCCTTCCTCTCATCTTTGCACCTTCGGAGGTAAACCAGTAGGGCTGCCAATGCGAAAGCAAGGACCGGACACCCACCGTGTTCTGAATGTATAAGCAGGTAGTTGTCCTGGCTTAATGAGAGCCAGCTTTCACTAGACCTAAGAAAATGGTGAATCATCTCCAAGGTGAGCAAAGGACACCCCTCATAGTTACGTGGATAACCCATCGCACTCATATTATAGCCTGAGAAAATGCGGGCAGTTTGGTTGTTCTTCTTTCCTCCCTCAAAGTTGAATACCATTAATGAATCAATGGAGTAGCGCGCAAGTAGCTGTTTTAAGATGCCTCCAATGTATGGCTTCAATTCGTCTTCTTCAAGCATATCCGTGGAGAAGCAGTGGTCAAATACTGGAAAATAAAGAAGTAGTCAAAAGTTAGCATCTAAAAGGTGACAATGAGAGCAATCTCAGTTCTGCTATTAATAAGTGAGATCACCGCAAACATACAAAGCCTGTCCAGTGGTAGCAGGTGAGAGTTTCCATATATAAAAGTAATGTGAAGAAAGCATGTATCCACTTTGAAACATTTAACTTAAACAATAAAACACCCATGCACACTGAGAGAAAAAATGGTAGTTGGTAACCTGGTATGCATATGCTACGCAAGTGGATATCTGATAGAAACAAAATGGTATACTAGTTTCAGACAGTCAGATTAATCAGAAAGCAAGAAGCCTTGTTGAGTTGTAAGCCAACATACTCGACCAACTGCTAGTTTTTCTGTAAAAAATAACCTAATGAAGTAATGAGAAACACAAATAATTCCAAAGATGTACAGTAAAAAGGAAAAAACAAATGCCTACAAAATATATATTTTTTATATCAGAACTTCGAGCTTTAAAGCATATGGAGCTTTGAAACATGACCTGATTTGAGCCATCGATGAATAATTCATAAATCAGGAGGAACATCCCATGCTCTCAAGCATAGGAATTCATGTTCGTGCCCGAAGAACCTAAAGCCCTCGAGCCACCTCGTGCTAAAACTTGTTGAAATGTCACCTAATGTGGCTGAATCGCGCTGAATGAACACGCAATGCTGGAGAAAATAATGAGGGCCTGATAAGGGATAACCAACTAATCCTTCGTATTCTAAAGTGTTACTGTTATGGTCAAAAACGCAAAGTTGAGCGACAGCTAATCAATGGGCTCCCTGCGCAGCCTCTGCCGGGTCAAGACAAGAAAGCAATGTCACCACGATAGCACAAGGTCTTTGACACAGTCCTGTCGCCTGATCAAATTGTACTATAAACAATACCCCACGTATTGTCCATACGAATTTTCTCACAGGCTAACAACTGCAGAAGGAACATAAAAATAACGAAAGAATAACAAGAAGAGAACAGGTCGTACTACTAATCCCAAAGTCGCAGACTAAAACCTTCGGAGTTCGAGCTGAAGAACCGCCACACACGCAACATGAGCAGGATTTTCCAGGTGCGACGCGTTCGTCGCACGAACAGTTCCAAGCAGAGAGCGAGCAAGGGGACAGATTTCGCCCAGGGCCCAGCAAAGATAGCGTAATAAACAGGAATCGCAATGAAATGGGGGATTGGGCGAGGAGGCACGCACCCAGAATGTTGCTGGAGATCTCGACGAGCCCGGCCGGCGGCCGCCGGTTGAAGAGCCGCCGGAAATACAGCGACATCTGCGGCGGCGCCTGGAGGGCAGATGGGCCGCCCGGGGCGCGGAATTCAAAAATGCTACGGGCAGCAGGGCCGCCCAATCAGCCGGCGGGCGGGCGGCGAGGGGTGAGGGGGCGGAGTGGGGTGGGGTGGGGTGGAGGAGACGACGTGGGGAGGAGTAGCTCGGCTCGGGGGGCTCGGCGGCGGCTATATGGGAATGGATTTGGGGGTTGGGGGGAGACGAGACGAGGCGAGGCAACTGGGTCTGCGCCTGGGTCTTTTCCTTCCGCCGATTTGTTTTCCTTTCCTTTCCTTTCCTCGGAGGAGAGGAGAAGCAAAGAAGAAAAATTAAAAGAATTGTTTAACAGGTCGTGGCGGGCGTGGGCGCGTGCTCGTGCTGGCTCATTCGTTCGACTCGTCGTCACTCGTGAGCTTTGCGGGGAAGAGAAGATTTCCGAGCGGGGCGGGGCCCACCCGCTCCTTTCCTCGTGCTTTCATCATGGAAAGGAAACGAAAGGCGGATTTGGAATTTGAATGTTGGGCGAATCGCTTTAGCTTTTCATTCAGTCGTCGGTGGCTCTTTTTGGATGTGGAGTCTTCTTTTTTTTTTTGCGGGGGGTTTGGAGGTGGAGTCTAGTAGCCCTTTGTCCCATAATATAAGACGCATTTGCGAGCTTGTAAACAGGGGCGTAGCTAGGTAGAGCTACTCGGTGCCAATGCACCGGGTTCAATTTGCACTTGCTTAATGTGGTACATTAATTTAGTGTGTGGGTCGTTGAATTGTTTAACATGTAGGCACGTGTTCTTGTATATGGACATCAGGTAATTTTCAGTCTGGGTCCGCTCCTGCTTATAAAAACGTCTTATATCATGGGACGGAGGGAGTAGTAGTTTCGTTTCGGAAGAATAGTTGTGTGGAACAAAAAGTTTTGAATGCGATGAAGTTGTTTCGTTTTGGGAGAAGGGTTGTATGGAACAAAAAGGTTTGGACTCAAGGAAAAGCGAGTTATGATGGTAAATAATTCTCGAAAATTACTTACTAGGAAACTAAGAAACTCCTAATGCTAATTCGGGGAACTTTCCAAACAAATGTTCAATGCATTTCACGATTTCCCAGAAATTCAACTTTGAATGGATAAGAGAGGGTACCATGATAAATAATTTCAGAAATTGTGTCTCTTCATAGAAAACTAAGAATTTCATGGTTACTAATTTTGGGAGGGAATTTCATGATGTTCCATTATTTTTTTCAGTAGACGGTCAAAAGCTTCACAATGTTAATTTCATGTTGTTGTTTCTTAAATAGTATGTTCCGTCTAAGAATACAAAGAATTTCATCATATTTAATTCTTTGGATGTTTCTTTTAAGAGGATGCTACATCTACATGAATAAATGGAAAATTCAAACCTAGATAGACTATTATTGTTTGATTTTGGTATACCCGGAAACACTATTAATGCAAAGCATATGCATAAGCAAGGATAATAAATTGAACACCCAAAGTGATTATGCACTCTCTTGCAATGACAACAAAAGCTTTTAATGTGCATGGCCCACATGTTTAGGTTTGTTTATATGTATTTATTATGTATTATGCATTTAACTACTTTTCCCTACATTCCCTAATAGTTGATTGAGATTAATGCCTTTTTTGGAACCGAGAGCCAAAAAACCACGCCTCCAATGGTCTTTCTTTTTTCTTTCTGTTGGTATTCTTTGGCAACATTTCTTGAAAATTGATCTTGCACTATCTGTTTTCACATTATGTGAAAGCACTAGGCCCGGATTTGTGGATGAATACCCTTGATGGATTTAAGTTGATGCATGCATCAAAGCACTTGGTTTGACTAGTCCGGCTAACTGATAACCCACAAGTATAGGGGACCGCAATAATCTTTGAGGATAGAGTATTCAACCCAAATTTATAGATTCGACACAAGGGTAGCCAAAGAATATTTGTAAGTATTAGCAGTTGAGTTGTCAATTCAACCACGCCTGGAGATTAAATATCTGCAGCACAGTGATCAGTAGCACAGTAGTTTTGATAGCAGTGGTAATAGTAGCAATAATAACGGTAAGAGCAATAACAATTTTGTAGCAGTTGTAACAGCAGCAAGAACAATATGGAAAACTCTTAGGCATTGGAACGGTGAATTCGTTGATAATATTCATCATATAACAGTCATAACCTAGGGCGACACAAAACTAGCTCCAGTTCATAAATATAATGTAGGCATATATTCCGTAAATAGTCATACATGCTTATGGAAAAGAACTTGCATGACATCTTTTGTCCTACACTCCCGTGGCAGCGGGGTCCATAAGGAAACTAAGGGATGTTAAGTCCTCCTTTTAATAGATAACCGGAACAAAGCATTAACACATAGTGAATACATGAACTCCTCAAACTACGGTCATCACCGGAAAAGTATCCCAATTATTGTCAAGCTGGGATTTACGGATCATAACACGTAATAGCTAGGTACATATGACTTGCAAGATCGGATCTAGAACATAGATATAATGGTGAAAACATAAACGGTTCAGATTTGAAATCATGGCACTCGGGCCCTGGTGACAAGCATTAAGCATAACAAAGTCTCAGAACATAGTGAATACTAGGGATCAAGCCCTAACAAAACTAACTCGATTACATAATGAATCTCATCCAACTCCTCATCGACCAGCGAGCCTACCAAGGAATTACTCACTCCCGGTGGGGAGCATCATGGAATTGGTGATGAAGGAGGGTTGGTGACGATGAAGACCGAAGATTCCCCTCTCCAGAGCCCTGAACGGGCTCCAGATCTGGCTTCCCGTTGAAGAACAGGAGGTGATGGCGGAGCGTCGGAGTTAGGGTCAGTGGAGCCCCGAGGGCCCCACCACCCACCAGGGCGCGCCAGAGGGGGTGGGCGCGCCCTGGTGTCCTGTGGGCACCTGGGGGGCCCCTCTAGTGGGTCTTGGCTCCATACTTTATTATATATTCCAAAATAATTCTCCAAAAAGTTCCGTCCAAATCCGAAAACTTTTATTTCTGGACAAAAACAACACCATGGTAGTTCTGCTAAAAACAGCGTCGGTCCGGGTTAGTTTCATTCAAATCATGCAAATTAGAGTCCAAAACAAGAGCAAAAGCATTAGGAAAAGTAGATACGATGGAGACGTATCACTAACCACACCTTATTCATTCTCTATTACCCTCACTCATCTTCCTACCCCGAGACCTCTTTGCTCGGGCACGCCCCCATCTTTTCCAAAAGATATTGATGCCAGTGTTCCATCAATGCAGCACTGCCACCATAGCTCTCTGCTCGCCATTGCTACCGTTGACGCTCCTTGTTGCCACCCTAGTTCCCCTCCTCTATTGATGGTATAAACTGGTATTTTGCTCATTGTGTGTATCAGAGGGGAGGTGAGTGGTGATAGAAGGAAGATGTTACATTGGAAATGAAGTTTGGGTCAAAAATTAGTTACAAGAAAATTTGACAAATCATCAAAGTGTAACAAATGTGGAGCGAAAGATCCAGTCCCATTTCTCCCAAGGACATGTGAATTCCTACATTACATTTGCTCAGTGTGACAAAATTGTCTCCTCCATTTGAGAAGTCAAGATGGGTCTATTTCACCACACATTCTTCGTATGACCTATAGATCAAGAAACCATAGTGACCATCGAAAAAAGCCCTAACAAAAAAAATCACACATTACCCTGCGCAAACTTATTGGTGTTGTTCACCACCATCCTTTCCTCCATAACTCTACGCTACCGAGCTCACTCCTATAGATTGCATGTTGTGTAATTGACTTAGATTGAGTCCTTTTGCCCCTTTTTATCTTCCTTGCAAAGAGTGTCTGGTCATATTTGTCATCTTGGAGAATGTATAGGTGCTAAAGTTTATAAATATTGTTTGGCTCCCCTTGTGCTGAATCACTAGATTTGTGTTGTGGTACTTTAAGATACCTTCTGCTACATCTTGAGCTTGCTTTGGTTTTCCTTGAAGAGGAAAGGGTGATGCAGCACAGTAGCGTAAGTATTTCTCTTAGTTTTTTAGAACCAAGGTATCAATCCAGTAGGAGGCTCCTCACAAGTCCCACGAACCTACACAAACAAACAAAGAACTCGCAACCAACGCGATAAAGGGGTTGTCAATCCCTTCACGGCCACTTGCGAAAGTGAGATCTAATAGAGATAATAGTTGGGGAACGTAGTAATTTCAAAAAAATTCCTACGCACACGCAAGATCATGGTGATGCATAGCAACGAGAGGGGAGAGTGTTGTCCACGTACCCTCGTAGACCGATAGCGGAAGCGTTATAACAACGCGGTTGATGTAGTCGTACGTCTTCACGGCCCGACCAATCAAGCACCGAAACTACGGAACCTCCGAGTTCTAGCACACATTCAGCTCGATGATGATCCCCGGACTCCGATCCAACAAAGTGTCGGGGAAGAGTTATGTCAGCACGACGGCATGGTGACGATATTGATGTTCTACCGTGGCAGGGCTTCGCCTAAGCACCGCTACAGTATTATCGAGGTGGACTATGGTGGAGGAGGGCACCGCACTCGGCTAACAGATCCAAGGGATCAATTGTTGTTGTTGTGCCTAGAGGTGCCCCCTGCCCCCGTATATAAAGGAGCCAGGGGGAGGGGGTCGGCCGACCAGGAGGGGCGCGCCAGGAGGAGTCCTCCTCCCACTGGGAGTAGGACTCCCCCCTTCCTTGTTGGAGTAGGATAGAAGGAAAGAGGGGGAGAGGAGGAAGGAAAAGGGGGCTGCACCCCTTGTCCAATTCGGACCAGAGGGGGGCTGCGCGCCTCCTTCCTTTTGGCCTCTCTCCTCTATTCCTGTATGGCCCAATAAGGCCCATATACTCTCTGGCGAATTCCCGTAACTCTCCGGTACTCCGAAAAATACCCGAATCACTCGGAACCTTTCCGAAGTCTGAATATAGTCGTCCAATATATCGATCTTTACGTCTCGACCATTTCGAGACTCCTCGTCATGTCCCCGATCTCATCCG